AGTGACAGTGCCTAGTTCATTTCTTAACATTCTAATACCGAGTATCCTATCACTGATACTAGAAATACCAAGCTCCTTCCTCATATTAAGAACCTTTGTAGATTTGGGACAGCCAAGAATAATTCTGAGAGCTTCATTTTGCATTAACCCCAAGGATCGGAGAGAACTTTTTCTAGCTAATATGGGAGCAGCATAATCAGTTAAGGACCTAACATAGGTTATGTACATCATTCTCACGATTCTCACATTAGCACCATAATTGGGGTTGTAACCAACAACAGCTTTGAGAGCATTTAGCCTATCTTTGTATTTCTTATCTAGTTGTGGTATAGTGGATTTATTAAAGGGTATATCTACACCAAGGTATCTGTAAGTCTGATTAATGCTTTTCCTAAGTGCTCTACCTGCCTCATCTAAACATAGCTATAAGCAATGCTAAAGACATCATGATCCATACAACAGGGCATAAGATGAATTTGCTATGTAAGTGGAATTAAGTCATTGTGTTTGCACTGAGGAAGAAGAGGACTATGCTGATTATTAACTCCAAAGAGTTAGAAACCCAGGATAACACAATAAAGCCAATCAATATGCCTTATTTCCATTCGGGTTCATATTTTTTTTTTTGGTGTCTCGTGGCTCAGTCAGTAGCAGCTTCAACACGCCCCCTGAGGAACTGGGGTTCGATTCCCGGTATGAGTGGAAATGTAGGGTATGTTTCTTTACACCTGCTGCCTTTTCACCTAGGAAGAAGTAGTTACTAGTGTTTGCCGACTATTGTGGGGTCGCGACCTAGGGGAGAGGTTTAAAGATCCTAATGGAAATAAGATGGACAATCCTCCATGACATCCTGAATTTATCAAGTCCTTCTGGGTTACTAACCTACCTGGTTAAATAATCCGAACACCTTCCTCAGGGCGACACCCCACCACAGTCGACTAATTCCCAGGTATCTGTTTAATATTACGATGCTGATGATCTTATTGTCACGTTTGAATATTAACTTTAGTATTTCTTTTGTCGTAGTTATATTTCTATGACTCCTCGAAGAACAATCGCTAAAGTTTGTGTAGCCATAATTTTACACAATTTTCGATTATTACATTTGTCTTATTTGTGATACGTGTAAATTATCTAGGTTAATAAAAAGGGAAAAGAAAGTAACTTATTTGCATTGGGGCTCTTGATAATGTCCCCTCAAGGAAGGTTCCTTGATGTTGGTGAGGGGCTCTTGATTTAGGGAATTGGATCTGTGCTCCAGTTCCCCGAAGTTAGTTTAGTTTAATATGTTTATTATGCACCCCATACCCATCCTGTGGGCGGTAGTCAAAAGATTACAGAGGTACATAATGGGTCCAGGGACTGGGCCTCAAAGTTTTGATAGCTGAGCAAGTTACAGAGGTAATGAATTCACAATTTACAAAGGTAATGAACTCACAATTTACAAAGGTAATGAACTCCAGGTAGGTCTAGTCACAATCATGACAAGTTACAAAGGTATTTACAGATTACAGAGGTACACAATGGGTCCAGGGACCGGGCTCCAAAGTTTTGATGGCTGAACTAGGTACAAGGTAATGAACTCACAAGTTACAAAGGAAAATGAATTCACAAGTTACAAAGGTAATGAATACTGTAAGAATGGTTATTTACGTGTATACATGGCTGCAATCATGAACAAATTTTAAAAGTAATGAGCAATTCACACTTCCACACCCGGTCACAACTGTAGTGAGTTTTTTGGTGCAAATGTTGATTGCTGAGCTCTCTCTCTCTTCCTCACACACACAACAACACACACACGTACAAATTCATACACACACACATAATCAACCACACACACACACCCCAAACACACACACACACACATACACAAACTCAAACACACACACGCCACAACACTCTACACACACACACACACTCATACACACACACACTCATACTCACACACACACACACACACAAGGCCTATTGAACACAGTTCCTCACAAGAGATATAGTGCAGAAGCTAGTAGCATCAGGCGCATATAACAGAAGGGCACTGCAATGGATCAGAGAATACCTGACAGGGAGGCAACAACGAGTCATGGTACGTAATGATGTATACAGTGGGCACCTGTGGACGAGCGGGGTCCCAAACAGGTTCGGTCCTAGGACCAGTGCTATTTTTGGTATATGTGATACGACATGAACGGAAGGGTTAGACTCAAAGTGTCCCTGTTTGCAGATGATGTGAAGTTAATGAGGAGAAATTAAATCTGATGAGGACCAGGCAGGACTTCAAAGAGACCTGGACAGACTGGACACCTGGTCCAGCAAATGGCTTCTCGAATTTAATCCTGTCAAATGCAAAGTCATGAAGATAGGGGAAGGGCACAGAAGACCACAGACAGAGTATAGGTAGGTGGCCAAAGACTGCAAACCTCACTCAAGGAGAAAGATTTGGGGTGAGTATAACACCGAGCATGTCTCCGGAAGCACACATCAATCAGATAACTGCTGCAGCATATGGGCGCCTGGCAAACCTGAGAACAGCATTCCGACACCTTAGTAAGGAATCATTCAAGACACTGTACACCGTGTATGTCAGGCCCATACTGGAGTATGCAGCACCTGTTTGGAACCCGCACTTGATAAAGCACGTCAAGAAACTAGAGAAAGTACAAAGGTTTGCAACAAGGTTAGTTCCAGAGCTAAGGGGAATGTCCTATGAAGAAAGATTAAGGGAAATCGGCCTGACGACACTGGAGGACAGGAGGGTCAGGGGAGACATGATAACGACATATAAAATACTGCGTGGAATAGACAAGGTGGACAAGGACAGGATGTTTCCAGGGAGGGGACACAGAACACAGAGGCCACAATTGGAAGTTGAAGACACAAATGAGTCAGAGAGATAGTAGGAAGTATTTCTTCAGTCATAGAGTTGTAAGGCAGTGGAATAGCCTAGAAAATGACGTAGTGGAGGCAGGAACCATACACAGTTTTAAGACGAGGTTTGATAAAGCTCATGGAGCGGGGAGAGAGAGGGTCTAGTAGCAACCGGTGAAGAGGCGGGGCCAGGAGCTAGGACTCGACCCCTGCAACCACAAATAGGTGAGTACAAATAGGTGAGTACACACACACACACACACACACACACACACACAACACACACACACTCACACACTCATACACATACACACACACACACACACACACACACACACACACACACACACACACACACACACACACACACACACACACACACACATGCACATATGTGGTAATGCTTTATTTACAGCTAGCAAAGTCAGGGTATTTCTCCAGAATGGTCTGTAATATACCACTGTGGATAAAATACTTAGCCATTTCTTGAACACTTCTGAGTGAGTTGTTTCTAAATTCATTAATTTTATCGCACTCCAGTACATAATGACGCAGGGTGTGACAATAATCCATCTGGCAAAGTTTACATTTCGTTTAGTCTACATCTGGTGGTGGTGATTTAACCTGCCAAAGATACTTGTAACCCAGCCGGAGCGGGCGGTAGTGACATCCAAGAGTCTGCTTAAGCATTTTGTTGGATGCACCATAGACATGTGGCTCCTCCTGCATGATAGAATGATGATAGATGGACTCACTGGTGTCAATCTCCCTGAGCCTTAAGTCCATAAAATTCAGCTGAAGTTCTTTTCGTATTATTGTTCTCAAACTACTACCTGACAAGCCGAGATTGTAATCTACCCCCTCTTTGAAAGCATACAGCTTAGCCAATTTATCAGTTCTATCATGCATCTGAAGACCAATGTGAGATGGAATCCACAGCATGTGCACTCTGACTCCACTGTCCACAATCCTACCATACCTGTGTCTGGCTTCTGACACAAGCATGCCACAATTTATGCTTAATGAGTTGAGAGCATTTATGGATGACAGAGAATCAGTTACAATTAAACTGTCAATCTTTGATACATAGATGCATTTCAGTGCAAGGAGTATGGCAAACAGTTCTGTCTGAAGGGTAGAGGCCCAATAATTGATGCGTGCTCCAATTAAGTCTGAATGCCTTCCACATCCCCCCCCCCAGGCGCTGTATAATCCTCCGGGTTTAGCGCTTCCCCCTTGATTATAATAATAATAATCTTGATAATGTCCCAACTTATTATTATTACTATGGCAATACGTTACTTTGACTTTTTTGGGTTACTAGGTAATTTACAAATTTTATTTTCTATGATAATTTGTTTAGCTGTATTTATGTGTACCTGTGGCTAAATAAACTTATTTACTTACTTGCTTATGTAGCCAAATCTCAACGTGAGTTACTACATTAATTATTATTATTATAATAAAAAACAAGGGCTAAACCTACAAGGGTCACACAGTGCCGGTTACATCAAAAAAAGTAAACGATAGCAACTTATTTCTACTGGGACCCTTGATAATATCCAACTCATTATCATTACTAACAATATAGCTTAATCATCTCAACATGAGTTACTATATAAGACCATTACGACAAAGCATTAACTTAGGTATGAAGCCTATAATATATATATTTATATTTATATATATATATATATATATATATATATATATATATATATATATATATATATATATATATATATATAATAATATATATATATATATAATTATATATATTATATAATATATATATATATATATATAATATAAATTTTATATATATATATATATATATATATATATATATATATATATATATATATATATATATATATTAATATATATATTATATATATATATATAATTTATATATATATATATATATATATATATATATATATTAAAATTATTAATATATATATATTTATATATATATATATTATATATATATATATATTATATATATATATATTATTATTTGCAGCCATGATTTCACGGAGAAGAAGATTGTGAGAGTTAGTGTTTGATTTGGTTTCTGTGTGTGTGGCCAGCCATGGCCTGGTTCTGCCATCTGCTGTACTCACTAAGTTTGTTTTGTTACTGTAACACAGGAGGAGGTCCTTGAGTACCTCACAACCACACACTGGATTACCTTGTCTTCACCTACTTCTAGCAGCCCTCTAGCGTCATACTAGTGCTTCTGGAGCGTTTGTGTTGGCTGTGTCATCGCTGGATATCATCTAGCGAGTTGTGTGGATAATAATAGTGGTGTGGATATGCAACTTTCACAGCGCAAGTGTTGATACTTGGTGTTCAGTGGTGTTTTATGTGTCCTTGGCTGTGCTTGCTGACCCAAGTACCACCAGCACTCGCTAGTGTGATGGACTCACACACTTGCTAGAGCCTGACTACTTACAAGCAGCTCACTGTCACTAGACTCAGCAGAACTTGTGGACACATTCATCTGCTGTGGAGGTCGCCGAGCTTGACACTGGCATAAGGAATGTAATTTGTGTATTAACTGTGGAGGAATATATAGACAAATGGCAGTGCGGGCAAGATTTGAGACTGTTTGCTTCAGTGCCTTGCAGGAAGAGAAAGTCCAGCCAGCATCAGTGCAGATCATATTTCAGTAACAGCTCCATTTTAAGCTCAACCAGGGAAAGCAAAGTGTCTTCCAATGTGTCCATCAGCAGCAGCAGTTCGAGTGATGAGATGAGCCTGACATCAGATGGTGGGGGGCAAGGTGGAGGGGGAGAGTCCAGCAAGCCATATGATTACTTGTTAAAGTTTCTGTTGGTGGGCGACAGTGATGTTGGCAAGCACGAGATCCTACAGCCCCTCGAGGACGGCTCCACCGAGTCCCCCTTCTGTGTTGGCAGTGGTGAGCTAAGCACTACTTTCTTCTTTATTAGCCCCATACAACTCTATTGTACCCTTAACAATGCTGTCCTAGTAGCTCAGTTGGGTGTGTTTTCTTAAGATTCCTGCTGTCCTTGTTCACCTAGCAGTATGTAGGTACTTAGGTGTTAGTCGACTGTTGTGGGTCTCTTTCTGGGGACAAATTTAAAATTAATCCAATTGCCTGAAATGCTCTGCATAAACAGGTTTTCTGTAAGTAAGTAAGTAAGTTTATTCAGGTATACACAAATACAGTTACATAGAATTATCATACATAGCAGCATATGTGTAGAGAACCTAGGATAACTCAAAAAAGTCAGACAGAGTGACTTATTTCCATTGGGGTCCTTTTACCTTATTATTATAATATAAAGGTTATAATATTTTCTTATTCTACAATGAAGATAACATCTTATTATCATACTAAAAAGACTATTTATTTATTTATTTATTTATTTAAAATTTGAGCACACATACAGAGGTACAAAAAATACAGATAAGAGCAGCATGCCAAAGCGACTTATACTATGCATAGCATTACGGGCTACACGAGGGTCATTAAGACTATCTACAATACGAGGGTCATTACTAGGAATAAGGTAAAATTTACACGTATGTTAGCTAAAAACTAGAAAATTATTCCCCTCCCTTTCTGTAGCTACATTCATCAGACACCTTTTGGCACTCTTCTTAAACTGGTTCATGCTATGACTGGCTTTGACATGTGGGGTAGTCTGTTCCATTCCTTTATTGCTGTAAATAAAAGGTGTTTGATGCCTGGCCAATGGACTGTGGGTACTACAAAGTTGTGCTCTCTCCCCCTAGTACTATGATTGCTTTGGTTCCCAACCTTGACAAAATTGACAGCAAGATATTCTGGACACTGTTTGTGAGCAATTTTATAAACATGATTTAGCTTCAGTTGTTTTACTCTGTCTTCAACATTCAGCATATCCAACTGCTGTAATTCATCCTGGCCTACATGTTCTCTTGGTCCCAGCCCCAGGATGAATCTTACGATTTTGTTCTGGGTGATTTGCAGTCTTATCTTTCAGTTTTTTTGTCAAGGCAGAGTACCATGAATGCAAGCGTAATCCATATGGCATTGTATAAGGGCTAGACATAGGGTCCTGCTTGCCTCAGTAGGTAGACACTGTGCTTGTCTATACAGGAACTTCAGTCTGGCATTCGCTTTCTTTACTACAGTGTTCCCTATCAATTTCCTGACATGCATGGGTCAAAGGGGATTCCCAGATATTTTACTGATGAAACCAAAGTGATGGGCTCCCCATTACACTGAACATTAAAATTATTTATCCTTCTCAGTTTGTTTCGTGCCAAAGAGATGGCTTCAGTTTTCCCTAGGTGTAATGATAGTTTGTTGTCTACTAACCATTTGCTGCAGGACTCCAGTTCCAGTGTTTTTAAAACATTAGCAATATCTTGTGGGTCTTTATGTCATACCCAAATGGTGAGTAAAATGGAAGGGTCTTTGGCGCTGCGAGGAGGATCAAGCCTCCATTTATGGGGTGAATGACCCCTGGATTTAGCGCTTAACATAAATTTAAAAAAAAAAAAAAAATTTCCTGTCACTAACGAGCACTGTTCTGATACGTGGGTTTGACTTTACCTGATAGGATATCATTTAATAAAAAAAGAAAAATAAGGGGCCAGAAAACACTTTGGGGGAATCCCCATGTTTCGGAGGGGGGTTTGATTCCGTTTTTGATTTGACTATTTGTCTCTGTTTAAAGGGGACTTAAACCAGTCTACAGAACCTTTTACCGTTGCTTTAAGTTTCTTACTTAAAATATTGTGGTTGACAGTATTGAAGGCCCTTTTTTAGTTAAGGTTTTCCCTACCTTGGGTTCCCCCCTTTCTTTCAGTTCTGGTAATCCATGATTAATAAGGGGGTGGTAACATTCCTCTGTGGGTTTTTTTTGGGGGAAGGCCCCTTTAAAACCTGATTCCCTTTTAATTGTTTTTAAACGGGCTTGGGTTGTAACTAATCATTTTTTTGGAACTTCCACCCCCTTTCTGTTCCTTTAAAGGTTTTAAATATTTCCTTTTTTTGCCTTGGCAGTCCCCCATTTTAAAAAAATATTCATTACAAAATAGTAGCATTAGTTGTTTGGTTTTTATTTACCTTTTTTTTTGTTTAATTTACAAAAAATAAATTTTTATTTTATTATTTTTATTATTAAAAAAAAATCCTTTTTCAAAAAAATTTTAAAAAACAAAAAAAAACAAAAACACCAACAAACAATTCCAACTAAAAAATTTAAAAAAACCTAAATTTACATCATAAACAAACCTAAATTTTTTTATCTAAATTTTAAAACAACCCATTTCTAAATTTTCCCCCCGTTAAATTATTAACAACCCCCCTTTATATTTATTCAACATAATTTTTTCCCCCCCCCCAAAATACCTTTTAAACTAGTTTATTTTAGTCACTTACACAAAGCACAAATACATACAAATGAAAATTTACCTGGGAAAACCCCAGAAAAGTCAAAGTGACTTTTTCTATTGGGGCCCCTTGATAAAGGAAAAGGGAAAGGGATTACATTTTTCTTTTAGGCAAGTCTTATTATACAAAAATTTAAAATTTAAAGCAAAAATTTCAAAAATGATTGATTTTTTACAAAATTTTGTTTTTTTTAATTGTGAAAATAGTTTTTTTGTTTTTTGAGTTCAATTTGTGTGATTCTTTTTTATTTTTGGGGAAATATAAATAAAATGAATTTAATTGCATGTAAAAAATAAAACTGGAACTGTATATAAAACCAAGGCCCCAAAGGGAAAAATAAATCACCCAAATTAACTTTATTGGGTTATTTTATTTAAATTTTACTTAATAACTAAATTTTAAAACCCATTGTAAGAGTTTAACTTGTGTATGAGGTTAGTTAAAATGTACAATGTTGTGGCCCCTTGAGTTAGATATTAACCATTTCAGTGTTGTAAAAACTATCATAACTCAGCCCCCGAATACATAATTTTTTTTATTTGTTCAAAGACACTAAAGTAAATTTTATGTACCTTACTCTCCCATCTCATTCTAAATGACTAGTTTAACTCCTTTTGGTTTTCCATTTTTCTTGCTTTACCTTAGAGAAATTGTCATTTTTAATGCAAAACTTTAGGGCCATGAAGATTGGTAACCCAAAAAAGAGGTGAAATTTAAAACCCACAAATGCAGTTATGAAGGGTGAATAATCCAGAGTTGTATGGGCATATGTGTTGCTTCAGATTGAAGAGGAAATAATAAATTGTAGTGTATATTTTGTTATTGGTGAGATGCTATCATAGGACATTATTCCCATTGGTGACTTGTGCTAAACCCCCCCCACCACCCTCATTTTTGCTTCTATTGGTTAGTGCGTCCAGGGGGCAAGCTACCATATTGCAGGTTGGCTGAGACCCCCAAACATTAACACCCAAACCCTCGTATGTATATTGTATTCAAATTTTTCACTTAATCAAAAACTAAATTCTTTTATGGGGTAAAAAAATAATCTGCCCAACAAAACTCAAGGGCCATGTATAAACTTTCATTCGATTATGTGATAAAATTTGTTACCTATGTTCTAATAAGTTTGTTTCCCTTTTATATTTTCTTTCCCAAATCTGTGGAAAAAGATAGGAGGATAAGTAAACCCTTTAAAACTAGGGATGCTAGTCAGTGATGTTCTCCTCAAACCCCTTTTTTTTCTAGGGTGGAGTACTACTGTACATAATGGCTTCTTTTAAAGGGAGACAAAAAAAGCAGACCTTAGAAATTTAAGGGCTTTCACTGCTTTATAAGTAAAAAGCACCTCAGTTATGGGAAAAGGTTTTTTAAACATCTGACCTGATTTTTAGATGCAGGTGAGGAAGATACCTCTAATATACTACTGGAAATTCCTAGAAGAACTAGTCCCAAATCGGCACACATAAATGACTCCCTATGAAAGCAAAAGACTCAGCAGGTGGTGCAACATCCTCCCCAAATGAAAAGGAGGGATGCCATGGGTACACTAAGAGATAACACATTAAGTGTCAGGGGCTCAAGACTATTCAACTGCCTCCCAGCATCCATAAGGGGGATTATCAATAGACTCCATAGCTGTCTTCAAGAGGGAACTGGACAGACACCTAAAGTCAGTACCTGATCAACCAGGCTGTGGTTTGTACATTGGATTACCGGCTGCCAGCTGTAACAGCCTGGTTGATCAGGCCCTGATCCACTGTTATTCCAGATCCTGGACTGGGCCATGGGGGTGTTGATCCCCCAGCACACCCTCCAGGTATGCTCCAGCTGTACAAAGGAGGCCTGGTCTGTGACCAGACTTTGGGGAAGATAATCTCCAGAATCACATAAAATAACTATAGCTAAGATTACCAACTACTACTCAGCAGAACTTGTTCATTAGTTACATTTTACAGTACAGCCTCTCCTCACTAACGACAGTTAGGTTCCTAAGAACCCGTTGGTAAACGAATTCGTCGCTAAACGAGGAGCATACCATAATGGTAGTGGATTTGTGTCAACCATGTTTGATATTGTTTAAATGTCACCATTTATAATATTTCTGCTATATTTTTAAATGTTTATACAGCAGTGTACTGTACAGTGGTACCCCGAGTTTTGTACAGCTCCCAGCTCGAACAGTTATGTAAGTGTATTATTTATTTATTTATTTATTTATTTATTTATTTCCAATTTGTGCACACATACAGAGGTACAAAAAAAATACAGATAAGAGCAGTATGCCAAAGCCACTTATACTATGCATAGCATTACGGGCTGGCTTAAAATTAACTTAAGATTAACTAAGCAATGATTATTATTATTATTATAATCAAAAAGAAGCGCTAAGCCACAAGGACTATACAGCGCTGCTACTAAGCAATGATGAAATCAGTGATAAAACATTAATGTAAACAGATAACTATAAAGCACAAGTGAGTATTACAAAGACAGGTCATATGGTTGCA